TTTTTAGCCAAGTCATTCGACATTCAAAACAGGGAACTTTTACCAACTTTCTTTAAATTTTCAAAAATTAAGCTTTTTGGAAATTCCTACTGTTATTTATTCTTGATAAACTTGAATAATAAGTGTATCTCCTTAATTTTCTGCTAGCGAAAGTGAGTAGACATTCTTCCCGTCAAATACTTTAGGGAGTATCCCATACATCGGGGCGCCAGCAACTTCCATCAAGGCCCCATAAAAGATTAGCCACCGGTGATAAAGAACGAAAGAGAATGTGACGGGTTTTTTTTTCCGTGAAATGCGATATGAGACGAAGTACTACTACAAGAAAAAATAAAGGAAAAGAGAAAAATAGTAATAGTGTAATATCTAAATAGGCGCCCTTAATAGTCTTCAGTAAATGTTGAGAGAGGAGGAAATACTTACAAAAAAGGGGAAACAAGGCAGATTAAGAGATTTTTGTTCTGGTCTGGGCAGCGAAAAGGGAATAAAACACTGGATAGTGATAGAACATAAACAATAGTTGAGTCACAATCAATGGTGATTTCATCCAATGGTCTCAATAATTTTGCAAATAAGATACTGTAATATAAATATCTGCTATGTCACTATTTGAATTTAAATTAATTTTAGAAAAAAAGGGGGTCAACACGAAGTCGGAGAAAATATTTACCCGCTTCCACAACGGAGCTATACTAAATTATTAAGTGAATCTCAAGCAAATGTAATAATAATTCGATGATATCGACAACCAATATGTAACCAAACGTTAAAGTAGGGGAAATCGACGAAAATAACAAAATTTACAGGTCGCAACGACCTTGTTGAGCTCAAGAAGGGCGTCTATACTGCAAATCTGTAAACAGGCAAAAACATAACAAACAACAAGAGGGGTAATGATCGCGCTGCACAAAATTTCACGTATAGCAATGTAACATCTGACACTGAGGCTGATCGTATACTGAGAACTGAAATTAATACTTAAAATGACTCATTATTGAGAAAATCCAAAATTCAGCGTTTCGGCTCTGAAATATCGATGTTGAAAGCACAATCCGGTAGGTAATAATGAAGTAAATCGTAAATCAAAAGTAAAAAGTAAGAAAAAAGAAAGCTTAAAAATGATTATTCAAAGTAAAAATGAATGCGTAATTGTTACATACCGCAAAAGAGCTTAAAAACTTGTAAGATAAATACGCAAATAGCGCCAGCGAAGCTTAAAAGTAGAATAACGAGGGACAACTTTGTTCAATTCGTTCAGGGTGAGTCAACGATTGCGCGGATTAACTTAATGCCTTGAGGATAAGATTTTTCGATAGAGTGCTTTTGTATTATGATATAGTTGAATATTCTCCACATTTTAAAAAAGTTTATAATTATACAGGGTGCGCCCACAAAGTAGGGTTCCCAAATGGTACTTTTTTTTTAAATAGAACCCCCTGTATTTGATTGCATTTTTAAATTTTACTTGTAATTATACATCTCTTTTATTATATGGTTAATATCCGAAAAGCTAGTAGTTTTAAAGATAATTCGATTTTTAAGAAAATTGGGCATTTGCAAGCGTCAGTGTATTGCCAAAATTATTACTTAAATTTTGAATCCAGGTTTTATATCTTTTTATCCTGGGTAGTAAAAGTCAAATAAATACATCTGCTATAAAACATTAAAAAAATAGATTACAGGGTGTTTTTTCTAGATCCAAAGTTACAAAACTTCATATTAAAAATATTCACTTCTTTTAAATGGAACACCCTGTATATTTCTCTGTCATCTTTTGGCTTCTCCAAAAACCTTCAACTTTTGATAATAATGCCCTATACCTATCTCTGATAGTTTTCGAAACATATTGGTTTTCCTGGTTTTTATATTCTAATCTTAAATAAGTTATATGTAATTTCAATCAATCTTCAAGGCATTAAGTTACTCCGCGCAATCGTTCACTCACCCTGTACAAGGAGTATGCGTGTCGGAAAGAATAAAAAAAAAATCTGCGCGACCTCGAACGGCAACAGAATGAACGATTCAAAGAAATCCTGTGTATATTCTTATAATCAAACATACTTCTAGTAACGTTTAATTTTGAAATCTACAAAAAAATTAAAATTTCAAGTCCTATTAATCAGCTTCCGTTACAGTACCCTCTTCTTGTTTTTAAAAGCGAAACAACTAGATGAGATTTGAAAAACAACTTAAAAATAAACGGAAGCTTATCTCTAAAACATCTCTAGCAAAGAAAAAAACTGAATTGTACTCTTTAATTTTTTGCCTCACACAATTTCACAAATCAACCTAACCAGGTATCTAGTATTCATCCTAACTCGCCTCAACTTACCAATTTAAATAAAATCTTGCCTAGACCCACTTATGCAGACTGTGCCTTATTTGAAGGAGGGAAAAAAATAGCATACAGTGCCGTGGAAGGAGCCCACCTCTAGCACTATATACAAAAAACTGTACCTAGAAACGTCACTTTCTAGACACGCAACAAAGTAGTGATAGACTAAAAATTGGGGGCAGCAACCACCCAAAATACCGATTCCCGAGAAGCGGCACGATCTGAAGGACCTACGGAGGGATCCTCGCGTTAAATGTGGGAGGACCTGCGCCATTCCTAACGGTAAATCTTCGAAAAGAAACTAAAACCTTTATATCGCAACCCCCTCCACAACTCGGTTCCAAAGTTGGGGAGCAATTCTCGGACTCGCCCCTAATCGTTCCAGTTCGCTAAACTAATCTGCCTAACTTAAAAAATCAAAAAAACAAACCCTACTTTCCTTAAAAACCTCTACCTAAAAATATATTAATGACAAAACACCCAAAAAAACTAATCTGTCCAATAAAATAAAATATAAATAAAATCATCTAATTTCTTCACCTGTTCACCGTGGACATATTTAATTCAACCTTAAATTGTTTATTAACGGAGATTAATCTTTAATTACTATTTTTTACTACTTTACTTTTTTGATTATTTTAGTTATGCATTAATTTTTTATACCAAATTTTCTAGTTTTAGTAATATTTACTTGTATCGCCTCTATTATTAGAATTTGTTTTCTGTTAGGTATTAAATTATTATTATAACTTCTTCTTCGCCCAATTTCGAATATTCATTCCTCGTCTTCTCTTAACTTGTTCTTCTTCGATTGCTTCTTTCGTGGTATTATTCAAAATTTTCTTCAAATCTCTTCCTTCGTAGGTATCTTAAAACCTTCTTCTGCTAATTCTTTCTTTGATGCAAAATTTTTTGATTTTCTTCAATTTTCATTTGGGCGACGCCTACTCTCTCATATTTTCTGACTTCTTCTACTTCTGGTCTTATTTTAAATTTTTGGTAATAATTTTTTACTCTTTTTCGAGAGACTAGTGGTGCTCCAGGTACCTGCCCCTCTAGTTTCTGATCTTGATTGTCAAATGCACCCTACCCTCTCCATTCTCCTTGTTGCCTATAGTGCTCTCCATGGTATAGCGCGACCCATGCTCTCTCCTGAATCCCACTGTATTCACGGGTCTTCTTTCTTCCTGTCGCCTCGGTGCTCGACCAGTTCGATCTTCTTGTTTGTTTCCGTTATTCCCCCTCCTTGGCTCAAAATTGGATTCTTTCCAGCGTTGTCACCAACTGTCGAATGGTCTTGCCTCCGGCACAAATTAAAATGTGTTCCACTTCTCGTGGAAAATGATGAGTGATAGCATGCACCAAGTGCCCCTCAGGCGAGCTGTTTCGCTGACCCAGTACCACACGTGGTTCACATCGTTGCTGTTGCGGTTGTTATATCTTCTCGGTGTTGCCAATCGTATTCTTATTTTATCTTGGATTTCTTCACACCAGAATTTCCCCAGGAAATCTTCTTATAGTTCCTGAAGATCCTTCCATCCTTGAATATGCAGATCCGTCCATGATTTGGCATTACCGTCGAGGAACTCTATGGTACGGTCAATAAGGTTCTTCAAATAGCTTTTTAAAGTTTTCCTAAAATTAATCGGATGGTTAGTTATAATGTTCCCATCAAATTTCCTCGGCTTTTGGTGTAAAGATTCAGCCTTGTACACCATTCAGGTGGAAGATCTTTCTTTTAAAAGTCCATTTTTTTAAATTTTCGCTTCAGGGTTCCTAATATTTGTGTCATGCTGATCAATCTTTTCTTCATTTCTCATCTCATCTTCTAGTTCCCCCACCACAGCCTTTATTCGCCCTCGAAAATTTCTTTCTTTCTTGCATTTCTAATATTATCTTGGTCAGCTTTAATCTTTTCTAGTTGAATGTTTTTCACTCTGACCTCTTGACCCACTTCCTCAAGCACCCCTTTCATTTCTCTTGCTGTTCTCTTCTAGCTTCTTGTTATTGTCTGATAAGCATCTCCATAATATTTTTCAATTGTTGGAAATCCCCTGGGGCATGACTGGTTTGGGGTTTCGGTATGCTGACTTCTTCAGCACCACTACATTTTTCTTGACTTGCTCCGGCTTCCTCATATTGGTGGCTAATTTCATTCCCTGAAGCATTTTCTTCTTGCATTTCGTGGCACCCAAAGATGTCTTGGCTTTCTTGGAACGAAATTTTACTAATTTGAATTTGAGCTTCTTGTTTTTTATTTCTTTCTTCGGCTCCTCTTCCAGTAGGCTTCTTAAATCCTGACCTTAATTCCATATACACTATACAAAAAACGTACCTTTGCACCCTCCTAGATTTCATAAATCAATTCAAAAATGTCAATAATTCCAGAAAATCTAAAAATTCCTAAACCCCCAAATTAAAAAAATCCTACACTGCCACCGGTTTATTCTCCTCCTCCTAAAAAACAATCATAAAAATCGCAACCTCTTTCATAAAGCAAGCAGGGAGGGAAATCATCTTTCGACCGGTGAAATATTCTCCAAAGTATTTACAAAAAGGTCTTTTGAAATTGAAGGCCCCAACAGACACAATTCAACAAAGAAAAATAAATCAATGAATTAAATTAAATGTGTCAAAAACCAACTAATAATGTTTTACTTTTCAGATCCTTCGGATTCGCCAAAGCTCCGTCCGTACCCCAACTGGGAGGCGCACAAACTTTCACAAACCGAAGGCAGCGATCCGCCCGAGATTGTTTCGCCGTTTCGCATCAGGGCGGATCAGTGCGGGAGACTTTGGGTGTTGGATACCGGAGTCGTCGACGCCTTGGGCGATATACGCTTCTACGCGGCGCAGTTACTCATCTACGACCTGCACAATGACGCCCTGCTGAGGCGCTACATGATACCAAAGGACCAGTACACCACCGACAGTCTTTTGGGGAACATCGCCGTCGAAGACGAAAACTGCCAGGATGCGTACGCGTACCTGGCCGATCTGGGCGACGCCGGTTTGATCGTGTACTCGTGGGCGAATCAAACGTCGTGGCTGGTGAAGCACCACTACTTTAACATGGACCCGATGGCCGGCAATTTCAACGTCGCTGGTTTGCAGTTCAGCTGGAGCGATGGGATTCTGGGCGTCGCGCTGTCTGCGCCCGACGCCGAGGGTTACAGTACGCTTTACTTCCATTGCCTCACGGGCGTGCACCAGTTTTCGATCAACACAAAATTTTTGCGCAACCCCACTCTGGCCCAGAACAGCTTTAAGGAGTTCAAAGTGTTGGGTAGCCGAGGGCCCAGGGGTCAAAGTAACGTTTCATTCCTCGACAAGAAAACGGGCGTCCTGTTTTACGCTTTGGTCAGCTTGAACGCCATCGCCTGCTGGAAAACAACCAACCCCTCGTACACCATGGAATCACAAGGGCGAGTCTACATGAGCAACGTCACCATGGTCTTCCCGAACGACATCAAGGTAGACGCCAACAACAACCTTTGGGTTCTCTCCGATCGCTTGCCAATTTTCATGTACTCCAGACTGAACCAAAGCGATGTCAATTTCAGAATACTCACCTCGCCGGTTGCGGATGCCATTCGCAACACGTCATGCGACTCAAAATTAGTAATCTCCCCGGAACTGACCAACAGGATTAAGCTCAACATGCAGACCTCAACGACGGAAGCTCCGACAACGAAAGGAAACAGTTCCGAAAGTGTAACACTAACGCTTGCCCTTCTTTTGGCGGCTTTCTTCTCCGTAAGACTTATTTAATTGCAGTATTGTCGTTATACGATTTAATTTAATGCGGCATGTTATTATTAATACTCCTAGTGCCATTGAATTCGCCGACGACATTGACCAGATTTGATACGTCACAATTTCGTCAACTTAGTGAATGTAGTCGTCCCTATCCTTAATGGTAACAAGGTCTAGCGCCATATTATCAATCTAGTATTTGTTTATGTTTAGTAATAATGATAATAATTTATAATTACGTCTGTCTAGCGAATAAAAATGCCAAAAAACTTACTCACCTGTACATATTGTGTTACCAGATATTACTTAATTTAATTATAGTGTAAGGATAATTATTACTTTTATCGTCTTGTTTGTATATTTTGTTTTATGTCTTGTAATAAATTACTTACTTGAATGTTTGCTTTTATCTTGCGAATTGATCCGTAAATTAACCGCAGATAATAAAGTTTGTGGCACAAAATTAATAAATGGAGGCGAAGATTAAAGTTTTGCTCGCATAAGGCACTTTGTTTGTCATTTGTTTGGCTACAACAGCCTAGAGGCCCCCAACTGAATGCCTAGCGGTCTCAATATTTTTTCAAATGTGAGGAAATGGTACTCAGGTTGGCGGCTGACTAAAGACCCCTGCGCATTAGGATCAGAATCGCATCCCAGCACTGCGGCCACATTTTTTAAGCTAGCGCAACTGTTTCAGTGTTCATCTGATGAGAACCATAGATTCACATTTTCGTTCTATCATCGTTCTACCCCAAACGAGTTTCCGGTACCCTTACAATCGTCGTGCTTGGTGCCATGTGGGCGCCCCTATCCAACCTGCACGCTGCACTACCACAACGTGTCACTCTAACTTACCATACCTCCGTTTTTTGGCGTTTTTGCTAATTTGCAACTCCACCAGAACTGAATAACTAAGAAGTTACAGTCAACTAGATATACCCGTTTCTACACAATTCGTCTGTTCCCTTTTGATCCTATAAAGGTAGCTCCTTACCTTCCCATTCCCATTCCCGGTCAAAAATTGAGACTGGTAGTCGTGTACTGTTCTCATCGCGAATATTTGGGATAGAAGTGCTAGTCTCATGCCTTCCAAAGATTACATCCTCTTTCTTCCATCGCTTTCCTCTAGTGGAGTAGTATGTCTTCTAGTGCTTTCATTTTATATGTGTTGCAATGATTCAGTGCCATCGAGCATAGATCCCCGTCTATCAAACCCTCCAAACAGGGGTGAGTACGCTAAAGCTTAGAACGGAAAACAGACACAGACGAATAATTTATGAGAATTGACATACAGAAATCCCTGCGTCTAAATTTTGGTCTTCGTGGGTTAACCCATTGAGACAGGGCAGCAAAAGACGCATGCCCGTGCTACTTCCCTTATACCCTTAAGTATGTTTATTCATGTACTTTGTAGCATGTCTGATGGTTTATCTTGTTCTTAAGGCATGGATATTTAACTTCTAAAGAAAGCGTTCGGGAAGTGGTCAAGCTTACCCGTTGATAAGAGAAATATGTAGAAATGTGCAGCTAGAAGCGTTTGTTATAGTAATTAAGGTATCAAGGGCGTTATAACGGAAATAACGCCCTAAGCCGATAGAGTATAAGCCCTCGGGTGTACGTCGGCTGTGGACGATAGCTATTTCTGACTGGCAATTGATCCTGTGGTTATTATGCATTTGCCATTTTTGCTTGTCAATAAGCTTTACAATATAAAACTAGTGCGAAACTTAAATTCAAAATGGTCCTTGGACGACTCCCCGAAGAAGTGCTTGCGCGAGTACGCAACGAGGTGATACTAAGAAGTCGGTAATAGCATTTGCAAAAGAGTTGCAAAAGTTAGAAGAATGGGAGGGTAGGAAATGCTTGAATGCCGTATCAGAAACGTGCTTATTTTCGAGAGTTATCGAAGAGTTTTGCTCCCAATTCTATAGGTATGGACGAAATACTTACTCGATCTTAAAAAAGGGGCTGATTGTTCACAAATATGTAAATAAGTATATGATTTGAGTATGGGAGTTACTCAACTGTTTATAACTAGGTTTATATATAATATCTGTATAGGGAACTATTAATTAGTACACTGACAGTACAACATTTAACAATCCTTCAAATAATAACTTTTCTTCTTAAATGTTGTCATAGAAACGAATGACAGAAAAATAAAGCCCTTGAGAATTATGATAATTCCCTTGGGCGTTATAGGTATTGTAATACACCTAAAAACTAGTCAAATGTGAGGTCATAATAACATAAAAGATCAATCATATTCAGTGCGACTCCACTATGTATAGGAATAATTCACTACAAGGTAAATTCTTTTCAATTAAGATTAATTAATTAAATTCCAGATGTAATATTTGCAAGTAGATAATTATAATCCTATAAAAATGTGGCTGTGGTGTGATATGAATAAATGCAACAGATGAAGGCGGTAGTCAGGGACGGATTTAATAAATTAATGTTAGGAGTTGCAGATTTGCGTATGTGCTTTCTTATAAGCCGCGCGAAACCATACGTTCGGTGGCAATTATTGATAATTGGAAATGGCATTAAGTTTGCTAATTACACTAACTGACTTCAAGATTACATTAGCAGGGCTTTCGAATGGCCTTTCCATCCCGTCAATGTTTTTCACGAGGACGCTTTCAAGTTGGGTATTTTCACTTTCCTTCGTTGTATTGTTTTAGAGGCAGAATCACTGAGTCAAGACTTATTGAGACTGAATTTTCCTAAGAACTTTGGAGAGGGATAACTTTCCTTGGTGACGAAAGTTCCAGAAGCTAATTATTGAAGGGGGGTTTGTACTTTTTAGAGGTTACCGTTGTGGGTGAACTTTCATTAAATGTGAAATCTTTTTCAGGGCCCGGGTACCTTGGAGAGGAATTTTGGTAGAGTGAACATTCCTAGTTCATTTACTCGAAGGATAGCAAGATTTGTAGGTGTTCTAGGTATTTCTTTAAACGCATTCAGGGTCAAGTTACATTGAAAGTCAGTTTTCTTTGGAGCGTATTGGAGGGGAGAACTTCCCTTGGAGGCGAACATGGTTCCATGGATCGGTAGGGTCTTTAGGTACAGCTTTTAAGTCAAGCGTCAATAAAACTGAATTTCCTTTGTATCCTTGTATTGGTACAAGTTTCCAGTACTTCAGAGAGGAGAACACCTGGAAGTCGATAATTCTCTGGACCAACTGCTCGGGTAAGGGAAGGGCGAGGCGAATTTTTTTAGAGGCGACCGTTTCCAACGTGCTTTATTGAAGGGGAATTTTTATTGGTACAAATTCTCAGTAGGCTATGTGCCATTTACTTGTAGGAAGGTGAGCCCTTTGGGTTGTATTTTTCTTAGGAAAGTCGTCAAGCTTCATTAAAGGTGCATTATTCTTAGATAAAGTTTCCAGGAGGGGGAGCAATTTCGCTTACGGGCTAAAACTCAGTCAGCTATTCGAGGGAAAGCAAGGTAAATCTTCCTTAGAACCGGAGGAAAGTGCATTTTCTTGGTTGTATCTTTTATTAGAGACACCCAGTACAGTATGTGCAATTATCCGGGAAAATTTTTCTTAGCTGTACTTTTTTAAATGGCAACTCTGTATATTCGAGCTTTATCGTAGGTGAAACTTTCTTAGAACATGCACCCAGTCTTCCTTAGACGAAAAACTTTCTTTTGGGGGGAACATTCCAAAACCCTAATGTTACTAGGAGGAAAGGTAGTTTTCTTGGTTGCCGTTTTTTTTGGAAGCAATCCTTTTGACTCAAGTGCCATCGAAGGTGAGGTTTCCTTGGAACAATTGCTAGTACTTCGGAAAACAAGACTTTTCTTGCGTGTAATCGAAAATTTCAGGAGCTAATCACTAGGAGGAAGGCGAGGTTCTCTTGTTGCACTTTATCGAGTCCATCCTTTTGTATTACACGTCATTGAAGGTGCACTTCTTTTCCTTACATTCACTTAGATTGTGCTGATTGGTACTAATTAAGAATCTGTGACTATTTGAGGGACATTTTTTTCTAGATTGAGCTATTTCCAATAGTGTACAAACTGGAAACGCATTGTAAATTTTCCCCTTGTTTCCAAGCTTGTTACCGGTTTTCCCATTTCCAGTGGTTCCCGGATTTCCGATTTCCAGATCCTAGTTCCCATTTTTTATATCTCGAGATCCCAGTGTGCGGCTTACATATTCTGATTTTCTGATTGCGATCGGTTCAGTTTCCATGCCAATTTTGCGGTTTCTAATGAACTCCCGATTATTTTATTGACCACTTCCAGTAGCAATTTCTGATTTCAGGTTCACTATTCTCTGGTTTAGCTTCCTTTTTCTTCTGCTAATCTTCGGCTTCCACTTTCTGGTTTGAATGATCAATTTCCAGTTTCTATTTCCAAGTCTTTTGTTTCCAACCATGGTTCTAAATTTTCAGTTTCCATACTCCAACTCAGGTTTCCCGTTTTGAACTTCTCGTTCCGTATACTGGCTTACTGTAATCCGATTTTCAATTTCCAGCAATTTTTTGTAAACGTGCAAGTACTATTTTACTGTTGTGAGCTTCCCGACTCCAGTTGCTTCTCATTTACCTACCAGGTACCAAGGTTTCTACTTCCATCTTTTAGTTCAGACATCTTCCATTTCTTTTCCAGTTGTTAGTTCAATTTCCAATCTCTGGTTCTCAATACCAAGTTTAAGTGTCCAGCATCACCTTTTCTTCCTACCAAATTTTCTGAGCTTTTTATCCCTTTAGCCTTGTTGTGAAACGCGTGTGAAAAGCACTAAAAACTGAATTATTTATAACTCAAGAATAATCTTTGAAAAAGCTCTAAATTCTTTAGAGCCACATAAATGCTTTACAGAGCACCTACATATTATCGAAACAATTCAAGGGTTTGACACGTTCCAAATTCTGTCGTTATACCAGGTTTTTGTACCATAACGCATTAGTTTCTTCCAGACCTTTACCAGCATCGGGAAAGCTGTGAAATGCTTTTGAACTTTGTTTCTTCTAACGCCTTTCTAGAATCCTATAGGTATATTTGCCACACAAGACAAAGAACGCTTCAAGACTAACACTAAAAAAATTTGGAAAGCTTTCTTAACTAAATGAAAGAGTCTCTAGAAAGCATGTAATCGTTTGAATAGGAGGCTGTAGAACTATTCCCGGGATTATGTGCCTCTTATAACAATGAAAAGCTCTCTAGAGCTTTCTGGTGCGCCTTGTAGAACATTTTAGTGCATTTCTAGACCACAACTGCACTCTTCCATTGCCTCACTTAGGGCCTTACTAGAACTTTCTGTATTAGAAACAACCCCTACGTATATTACCAAATCTAGCAATACGGCAACACTGCTAGTAGAATATTACTGCTCTGTAGAAAGAAATGCCACAGTTGCTGTAGCCGCTGGACATCTTATTGCAG